AAAAATATCCAACTCCTTTGATTTTTGTTTTGAAGGTTGCAAAACCAAAGACTAAATTGAAAGACAGCAAAACACTACACTCGTTCTTTTCCCTTTTTGACTCTTGCATACTCACAATGAGTATATCTTGGTGCCAGTAAACATGGTAGGGGAGAGATAAAAAGGAAAATATCTGTCCTTCCTGAAAAGGGATTAGTTATCACTCGGTAACAGGTGCTTAATCCTCTGTGGGGGCATAATTCGAGCCTAGAGAGAGGGACTGGACAGAGTGGAGGAGTAACCACCTGTGATAGAATTCTGATCTATGTTGGATTCCTTCAGGGCCTGCTGGCCTTACATATTTATATAAGTAAAAATGAACCTTTGGTGTGCTGCTCAGAAGTATCATTGTATGCTAGGGTGGGTGGTAGTTCTCCAACAGGCTGCCTGATGGTGTTTGGCTAGTCAATCAGAGAGTTAGCCTGGTCGCTTAGGAGGCAGCATGGATGCTCATCTAAATTTGCCATAGGAAGAGGACTTTGATGGTCAAGGGCTTCACCTTATGGATTTAAGTCAGGTCTTTAATGCCAACCTCTCAGGTTGTTCACATAAGACTCCATGAGCCTCAGCTCCTGCAATAACTCTTCCCATGCTGTCCCCCACTCTCTTTTCTTCTGTTCTGTGAACTCTCAGGGAACCCACTGTTGGCTCCTCACCTACCCCTGGATGTTATCAATATCACTGTCTCCTTCTGGCTTCCAGAAGATCTCAAACCTTTCCAAATATAAGTCATGAAAAAGTTTTAAACTAGGTAGTTTTATATGGGTGTTTTTTGTGCTATTTGCTTACTTTTACTATATGTTTGAAAGTTATCCAAGTTTACAGTTGGAAAAAATACACGTTTTTTTTCTACCCCAAAAGTCAGTAGCCTCAGTTATTGGCAGTATCTGTGCTTTATCTGGATGAAGACTGAGAATGTTGCTAACACCTGACCACATATAGAAGGGAAATCTTGTTCAATTCAAGAATAAAAGAAGAGGGAGAGAGGAAAAGAGTACCTAGAACTTAAGAGTATCATCACTGGGAGTTGGCACAGAATGATTTGCCAATATTTTGGCTGTCATTAGAAAAACAAACTCTTCACCATACAGGGCTGTGTGGTGTGCAGTGTGCTGAAAAGAGCATGAAATCAGAGGGACCTGGTTAGAATTCAGGTTTTGCTACATATTAACTGTGAGATTTTGGCTAAGACATTAAAACACTTTGATTCCACAGTCTTCACATATGTAAAATGCTAGTTATAATAATAATATTTGCCACCCATACAAAATATTGTTACTACTGTAATATAGTAAAATGGTAGATTGGTATAATAACATTTTAAACTGGTTACAAAAACTAGAAGGTTTTGAGGAGTGAGATTTAGAATTCCTCTCACTGATTTGCTTTCAAAAATATTTTCATCTTCCACTAGAGGTGCTGGTTGTGAAAACCTCTATGGAAATAATTACACTTAAGGTTTTTGCTTTTGTTTTTGTTTTTCTGTTATTGTCAATTAATTTTTAACACATCTGTGACTTTCTTTCTTTTTTTTTTAAGATTTTTATTAGGGAATTGAGGGAAAGGGAACAGACAAGTTGCTATCCTTTTGTTCTTCAGTCTAGTTGTGCAGGACGTTGTTTCACTGGCCCAAGTTGGCACCATCATCGCGCTCTTCCTGGGCGAGGCAGATCAGTTGCCAGCTTCTGGACGGCCACTCACAGCAGCTGCTGGCCGCTCATGCTGGCTGCTGGCTACACATGGTAGCCCAGGCAACCCACCTGCCCATTGCCAGTGACTCATGGCAGCCCAGCTATAGGTCGAGCTGTTGTTCAGCATCTTAGCTGTAGAGGGCAGTGTCACTGGCCCTCATACGTGGGATCTGAACCGGGGCCCTCTGGCATCCCAACCCAGCTCTTAACCAACGCACCACTCGGCTGGCCCTGTGACTTTCTGTATATATCATTCAATTGACTTAGAAGTGAATCAATAAATATATTTATTGACTGTCTCATTTCTTAAAGAAATTTGATGAAGGACCCTCAATTTGATATTCTCATACCTGTCTATATTTGGATCATTCACCTCTCTTGCCTGCCAAATTAAAAATATGGTCGACTCAGCTGATCTTTCCCCAATATCAGTCACTTTCTCTAGCGTATTTTTCTGTGCTTCAGAAGCTGGAAAACTCCAAACTACTAATTTGATGCTATTGTTCTGCATGCAAATTAAGTTTCACTAGTTGCATGCATCAGAATAAGATTTGCATGTTCTGTTTTGATGCTGTTGGCAAATACAGCTGTGGAGATCTTGGTTTTTCTGCAGCTGTGTTCCATTTCCAGTCCTTGCTCTGTCAGTGTTGAGAAGACTAGAACTGTGGAGTAGCAGCTTCCTGACTCCATCTTCCTAATTGTGGCCACAAGCCAGTTTGTCAGTGTTGTTGATGGAGTCATGCTTGGATGCCCAGACCTTCACCAGCCTTTCCAAAGATTGTAAATGTCCCCAATTCCAATGACATATACCGTTCTGTCTAGAGTAGCTAGCTGATTGCTGCAACTGAATCTTGAATAACTGACTTGAAAACACTTTGTGGGCAGGAATCTTGTTATATAAAGAAATTGAAGCAGGGCCCGGTTGGGACCCCTGTAGTAGAGGGGTTGCCGCATCTCCAGCTTCACCTTTCCTTAACCTAAAGCTTAGTAATAGATTATCCCCCTGCAGCTTGAGCCCGAAATGTCCCCTGTCCCAGTTCCCTGTTTTAGAAAATTATCCTGAAACTTGTAATTAATAACCCCATGCTTACTGATCACAATCTCTATGACCTGTAGCATTCTTTCCAGGTTACTGTCATCACCCCTCCTAGGTTGATGGGCATGCTGGAGAGCCACATCGCCAGAAGGAAGACTCCATGCAGATCCCCCGAGCCATGGCATAGCCCCTGGAGGAACGCCCAGATTTCCCCTTAAACATCCCACGCCGGTCTGAGAATGTTAAGGCAGTTTTTGGAGGTGTTAACCCACTGCCTTCTCAGGCCACGGGTGATCTGATAATAAACGCTTATTCTACTACCCAACTCCTGTGTTGATCTATTGGCTGAAGAGCGCAGGCAGCACTAGCCTTGGACTTGTTTGGCCTCCAAGTTCAAAACGACTTTGCATTTTATGTGTAGGGAAATAGATGATAAATAAAGGACTAAGTAAAAGTTTTGGTAACATGGTGATACCTACTACAGATAAAAATAAAGTTGGAAAAGGGGATGCCCTGCAGGAGATGGTTTTTGCTATTTTAAATAGAATCGTCAAGAAAGGCCTTGCTGATAAGGTGATTTTTCAGACCCCTCTATTATTCCAACTGTGCACTAGGCTGTGGTGGAGTTACTGTGTTAAAATGCAATTATCCGATTACTTTTTTCCTTAGATAACCCTCTAAGTGATGCTACTATTTTTCAGCTCCAGGTGGCTAGATTGTTTACCCACAGAAAACATGGCGGAAAAGGCTTCAGTCCGACACTTGGCCCCCAATAAAGATGGCTACAGAACTTCCTGTGTTTGCCCTTAACAAAGATGGCGGACAACACTTCCTGTTCACGGCTTTCGCCTTTAACAAAGATGGTGCTTATGGTCTAGGTTCTTTAACAGTCTGGATTCCGGTTGCAGTTTTTTTTTTTTTTTTTGGGTTAAGACGTGTTTGCAGACGTAAGTAACAGGAAACCAGAAGCTCCGTATTCATCTTTTCTCCAAGGCCCCGCGCCGTCGCGTCTGCGGCCTGGGCCCGGCGTGGTTTCCCCGCACCCTTATCCTGCTCGTGGCTGCCCGAGCTGGGCCGGGTTGGGGTGGCAGTGGGGGTGCCTGAGGCCCGCTCTCCCTTCGGTCCGCCGCTCTGAAGGGCATTCCCAGCACCCTCTTTTAAGCGGGTCAGGTTGCCCCGAAAATCTATCTTAGTTCTTCCTGTTCGTAATACTGAGGGCTTCAGCTGGAGAGGCAGGACATAAAAAGAAGTTCCAAACGGGCGCTGGCAGCCAAAAGTGCACACCCCCCTCCCACCTACACCTCCCAGACTCCACTGAGGGCTGCCAGGAGGAGGGGAGGGTTGGAGTCGGCCGGGGTTGCGCTCTCCGTGGTGTCTGGAAGCCCCATTGGCCTCCCCTACCGTCCCTCCTCGCCACTTACCCTCATGGTCTGCACACATCCTCCCCTCAGCTCACTGGTTCAGTCGTCTTGGCAATACGCCTTCAAATCGTGCGTGGCTACTGACCATGATTGCGTGTGGACATTTTTCTTTCAAAGAAAAAAAAAATTAAATGTCCCATGCATGTATAGCCATGGCAGTGTCGTGATGGAGATTCTGAATTCTTGGAAGGGGTGGAGTCTGTCACTATAAAGTTTACTGTAGACTGGGCACAAACATTTAAGTGTTTTTCTTGAAGGTGATGGTGTATACGCCTTTTCTCTCAGGGGAAAAGATCCTGAAACTTATTGGTACCCACCCGTTTCTGCCCACCATGCCCATTGCTGATGAACTTCTGCAAATGCACATGTTCAGAAGGGCACCTGCATGAATATTGGCAGTTTCTGCGGCGGTTGGGTAACTGATAAAGGCAGTATTAAAATAAAACCACTATTTTTGCTCAAATATGTTAAAATGAAATGTTGCTCTGTAATCCTCGGATAACAGTTGCTTCTTAAGCAGGGTCTCTGACCCACTTTTTTTCCAAATCTCTTTATAGAACAAAATATTGAGTTAGGACCCTATAGTGTGAAAAAGCAAAAACAGAAAAGATGATTCATGTTTAGTGTCGTTATGTTCAGAAACATTTGAAATTAATTTGGCTTGGCTTAACAGCCATGTGTTAAACACCATGTCCTGGCAGTAGGCTAAGGTTCAAAGCTATTCATGACTTAAGGAGCTTGCACTGTAGGACCCCATCTTTAGGGGTTCATCAGTATTCTTGTAATCTGAGCTACAATTTTGTCTCTTTCCAGGGGGAAATGGAGGCTAGAGACAAGCAAGTGCTTCGTTCTCTTCGCCTGGAGCTGGGTGCAGAGGTACTGGTGGAGGGACTGGTTCTTCAGTATCTTTACCAGGAAGGGGTCTTGACGGAAAGCCATGTTCAAGAAATCAAAGCTCAAGCCACAGGCCTCCGAAAAACAATGCTGCTGCTGGACATCCTACCTTCCAGAGGTCCTAAAGCATTTGATGCATTCCTAGATTCCCTGCAGGAATTTCCCTGGGTAAGGGAGAAGCTGGAGAAGGCAAGAGAAGACGCCATAACTGAGCTGCCTGCAGGTAGGCCTCAAAGAAGTCACTTCAAGCCAGCTCCAAAATGGTCCAACTGTGGCCTTTGAATTTGAAATTGGGGTTTTAGGCTGGGAGGGGATCAGCAGTTCCTGAAAGTGGATAAGGAGTTTGGGCTAAAGGTGCATGGCATTAGAGGAACAGGATGAGGAGGTGGAATTAGGAAGTGCAGGGAAGGAAGGAAGAATGAAGCATGATGGAGAGGGTGAGGAGGGAGCTCAGAGGGTACATTTATAAATGCTTCCAGGGAAATTTGGCAAGCCACTTGGGAGGCATGTTCTCATCTGAGAGCCAGGTCATATCTCAGCCCTTGGCATCAGAAGCCATTTGGAAAGTGCAGATGGGAAAGCAGGCATTAGGCCTTCTGATAACTGCTTCATGGGGTGCCAGAGCTGCCTGCTGGGAAAGGTCAGATTGGAGAAGGAGGAGACAGCCTTTAGGAAGGCAGACCTTGCACCTGTTCCCTGGGCTGCCCCTACATGGCCAAAGGGGATTGTTTGGAAGGCTGGCTTAGTTTGTTTTTAAAGGTTATTGATTTAAAGTTGTCCCTTTTAGTTTGGCTTCATTCAGACACCCAGAGTACTTAAGTTTATAAGGACAGTGGCTTGTGGAGGGTCTCATTTTGATTTTAAGGGCAGTTGGAAGCTATGGAAACGAGAAACGGTCCTCGTGCCATTAACCTGGCTTATAGCAGGAGGATGTGCTATGGAATACTTGTTCCCTCTTAACAGCCCTCATGACTTATACTTTTTACAAAGACTGAGCAGCAGAGAACTGAACTGACAAAATATTTGAACGTTAACAGAGTTAGGAAGTCAACATTCTCTGGAGTTTTGATAGCAAGTCAGTGGTCCCCAGACTTCATTGTAGCTCTTTTTAAAATAACAGTATAACTGGTTAAAAAGCAAATACCAGTAATAAAAGACCACTTTTATTATTTTGGCCTCATAGACCTCATATTCTGAATGATTTTCCAGACCACATCTATTAAGTACTCATGATAAATTCTTCTATTTTTATTAATGACTGTTACCTAATTAGCATGAGATAATCCATTAACTTAAAAAGGCCTGGTGAAATCCCAGTGGAAAAAGAAAGCAACATTTTCATTTTCTAGCATGGCCAAATTACAGGCAAATATGTGTTCTAGGCTTTTTGAAGTACTGAAAATAGCTGGCCTTTGAGGACCACTGGAATTCTCAGGTTTGATTGTCCTTACCAAATTAAATAGGTGTGTGAACAAAGCCAAATTAAAGTATTTAAGATATTTCTACCACTTTGTTGAAAGCAGGATAAATAACATAGAATTGGGGAAATGTTAAAAGAAAAATTAGGGTGTCCGATGTCTTTTCCTGGTGTTTGACTTAGATGTTCCTTTTGACAACACAGAGTTGGAAGCAACAAAACAGACTAACGGAAAACCTGTTCCTACCAAAATATTTAGTTTAGTTTTGTAATCATTATGGGTGATGGAAATAGTACTGTTGTTTGTTTTTAATAGAGGTGTGACCTCATTGTCATTTCTTCAGATTCATTCAAATAACAAGAAAAAACTAAGATGGTTTTTACCAAATGGTGAAAGTTATAAAGGAGTTGAGGGGAAAATAGTGTTTTATAAAAGTAAGCAGAATGAAATGGTATAGAGTGGGGAAAAAGTAGAGTGTATCTGTGTTGAAGTTTATAAAAATAATGTTAGTTTGTTAATTCTGTGCAAGTGGTCAAATGGGAGATAGGTTGGCTACTGCACAAATTCAGTACTCTTAATTGCTTGTTTGTTGAGTAACACTGATATTGAAAAATATTCTGAAGAGGGTTTGATTAAAATATGTCTCTCTATACCTGCCACAATGACAATGACATAAACTCACTTTTCAAATAGTTATTGTTAATTATTGAACAATTTAAATAAGATTAAAAAATATAAGTAAGGTATGGACAATAATGGTGCAGTGAACACCTGTTTTCCCATCACTCAGTTAAAAAAAAATATTACCATCGCCTTTGAGCTTCTGGATGCTGCTCCACAATCCTAGCGTACTCCCAACCCCCACGTACTGATAAACCCTGAATCTGGAGTTTATCATTCCCTTCTTCACTTTGTGGTTTTTCCATCTCATCAAAATCACTTTAAAAATCCACATACATTATTGAAAATCCACTACCATAAGTTTTAGCCATACACACACACACACACACACACACACACACACACATACACATACACAAAGGGTGCCAAAAAAATGTATACACATTTTAAGAAAGGAAAAAACTGTATTGAAATTACACTGATGCTAACTACTTTGAGCACCTCTTGTAATTGCAGAAGTCACGTGTGACTTGTATTCATCTTTTGGTTTTGGTATATATTGAGTATTACAGTTTGATTACAGTTTTTTCCTTTCTTAAAATGTGTGTGTATATATATATATATATATATATTTTTTTTTTTTTTTTTTTGCATTCCCTGTATGTAAGGGATGGAGGAAATAATAATATTTCAAAGGAGTTGTTAGTTAACAGCCTTCTCTTATTTGAGACCTTAAACTTTAAGTGTGTAATTAATTTGATGGCAGTATTTTAATTCTAAAATTTAATTGGGTCATAATTGGAAACCCAATTTTTTTTTTGAAAGTCCTGGAAAAAGTATCAGAGTTGAAACGCCTTCAATGAATGTCCCGGTAAAAAACGCAAATGGACCCGGAGGCCTATTTTCTAGGACCACAGTGCTTCTTCAGTGTTGTAATAGACGATTTTAATAAACCTTTAAATAGTCTATTTAGATTTTTGTAAAGGCAGTTTTGAATTTTGAAGAACTAGACTGTAGGAAAATGTGGACCTTGGAGCTTTCTCCAAGAATGAGCTGGTTTTACTTTATTAAAAAGTTTTCTTGTTTTGGTTTTCCCAGGGATTCTTGGTTTCCCCTTTGTTTGTTTGTTTTATTTTTGTGTTTCACTTGCAAATTTTGAGCTGCCTCAAAGACCTTACTTGGTCACTGATCCCAGTTAGTTCTTTTTATTTATATTCTAGATTTAAACCTTTGATTCTCTCAGAATCTGCCTAGATGATTGGCCTTCCTTTCTGTTAATAAAAAAAATCTGAAATGTTAACGGAGAATTGATTTTGTGTTTTTCTCATCCTGTAAGCACTCTTATATTTTAAAAGAGGAATTCTGGCAATAAAATGACCTAATCCAGCTTGGCACTATGGAAGGAACACTTGATGTTATGTCCCTTACCAGCCAAGGTCACGTAGCAGACACTAGATCAGCTGGAAATCTCTCTGGGCTCCTGTCCGGTCAGTTAGGAGATGAAGGTAGTGCTGTATTTGGGTGAAGGCAGAGTGTGCCCGCCTGTCTGCCTTCCCATGCTCATGGGTCCTGTCTGCACTGACAGGCTCACTGAAGTGCCTGAGCTACTCTGGGTCTGGAAAGGCAGTTTATGGGCGGCCCCCGTCTCACCAGCTGGTGGGACTTAGCCTTTCATGGTGGTAGTGACTTCTGGGCCCGGGACTTCTTGTTCCACTGTGTTGGCCCTGGCTGTGGGATTGGGTCTCTCATGACTCTCATTTATCAGTCAGCCTGGCAGCCCTGCCATTAACCCGACTTCCTTTAGACTTGGGAGTTATTTATTTATTTCCATCCTTCCTAAGCTAGATTCCTGCTTCGTGTTCTGTTAGCCACTGGCAAGCGTATCTGAGAACACAGCTCTGTGCCTCCTGTGTTAGCATCAGATGCCTCTATTCTTTTAGCCTGTTGGAGAGTCTGTCCTGGGGCTGACGTTTGCTTCATCCTTGCCAGCTTGAGTTTGGTTCTCACTGTGGACCCTGTGCCTGGACTCCTGGGCCTCCCTCACTGGAGCAGGATGCAGGGCTGGTCTGTGTCCCCTTTACCCACTGGCTCCAGGATCAGCCTGTCCCTTTTGGAGCTGGCGTTGCCTTACCATGTAGAGCCACATCAGTCACTGACTCGAGTGCACTCTGGCTCTCACATGTATAGTTGGATGCATCTTAGGTTACTGAGCAATAATGGCAAACATTTTGGGTATTGTAATAGGTTTATTAGAGAGATTTCTAGCCTGGGATCTTCCAGTCATACCATGACTTGACCCTATTCTGCATATAAGTTCAGTGCTGATCTCAGTTTATCTAGCTGTGGTCTATCCAGGCACTTGCACTGTGGCTGGATGGAGTTCCCCTCATGGCATCCTGTGTACTAAGAGGGCATCATGGGTGAGCATCCACAGCAAGACTCCTCCTTGTGGTACAGGCAGAGTCTACAGATAGCCCAGATTTCCCCTTATCTCCAGTATGATATCATATAGGAGTACTCCCTGAGGACCGACTAGGTGCCAGGCACTAGGTAATAGACATATAAAGTCTCTGCAGATCAAATGAGGGGTTCATTTGTTCATTCACCAAATACTGAGTATTGCCCATGTGCCAGACACTGGGTGCGGGGGATAGTATAGTAAACATAGTCCCTACGCTTATGAGTTCACTATATTCTACAGTCTGATGGGGACAGATAACAGGCCGATGAATAAATAATACAGTCGTGCTGCATGACAACCTTTTAGTCAACGACAGACTGCATATACCATGGTCGTCCCATAAGCTTATAATGGAGCTGAAAAATTCCCATTGCCTAGTGACGTCCTAGCTGTCATAGTGTCGTAATGCAGCGCATTTCTCAGGTGTTTATGGTGACGCTGATGTGAATAAGCCCCTGTGCTGCCAGGCCTATAAAAGTATCGCACACACAATTATGTGCAGTCCTAATAAATAACTATGTTACTGGTTGATGTATTTACTATATTTTTGTTATGTCAGGGTGTACTTTTTCTACTTATAAACAGTTTGCCGTAAAACAGTATGCCATGTTATGCCGGCAGCAGCCGCATACATCTAGTATTTACCGCGTCTCTTGATTGCATCATTTTCTCTTGGGCTTGATTTAATCTCCTGGTTTGTACAGGAACATGCTGTACAGGCGT